CGCCATTCGGGAAGCGGTTCCCAGACTCCAAGGGCGTATCACGCGCCTCCACCTCTCTGTCTATCGCCGGACGATCATCTGCGCCTTACATCGTGCCGCCTCCTTCTGACCGCCGCTCCTCGAGGATGAAGGTGTCCAAGACGGCGGTGATCAAGCAAGAGCAGGAGAACGATACCACTGCCCTACAACCTGGAGCTGTCGGATGGTCCTCTCACCCTCAGCCCGTCAAAGTTGCTGGGTGGCACACGGGTTCCTCTAGCGGGCAACACCGAGAGGAGGCACGCATCAACGACTACCTCAAGGATCCTGGCTTCATAGCGTTATACGAAGCCCTCTGCGCACAATTCGCCTTCCGCGCTTCTGAGGCCCTCCAGATCCCGACTCAGGTGGGGGCAGCTGCAGACCACTACTGGACGGTCGACTCCCAGTCCCCAGCCTTGGGTTGCCACGTCGCCGGGGCGGCGTTCAACCGATTGACGGCCCCGACTGGCCCGAACCTCCCTGATCCTTCCGGAACAACTGCGTTCGAGCAGACGAACATGCTAAACGCGGGCTCGGGTCCCTTCCCGGTCCACAACGGCCACACTCCAAATACATGGCTGTGGGACGAGTCAGTGTTCGCGGATTCATCTGCGTCGGGAGAGCTTCCCTCGTTTCTCGAAGACGCCTTCTCTACTGGCCCGTCGCAGTGGATGTCGACCTCCACTTTGGACAATCCTGAGAACCACGTCTGCTTGTAGCTCTGAAGGGGCGATTCGGCGTTGTCACGGTGGAGCATAGGACGGATCGTCTTGCTATGTCCGTCCTTCCGCGCGACTCTTCCATCCTCTCTCGCATGCATCCATTATCTCCCGCTCCACATGTTACATTATTTCTGGCATCATCATGTTCCGGGACACTTGCATACGGCTCTCAATTTATCAGTACCGCACATCTCGCATTTTCTCATAATCTGGTATCCTATTCAGTGTACGTAGATGCGACGAAATCTCAGGAAGTCATTCACTTCGCCATTAACCAAACAACCGGAGCGCCCAGCAGTGAACGCATCACCGTGACAGACGTCTAACGTCGCCTCCCTGGTTATTTATCGTCCACGATGATCAAGCCTTATCCTGCTGACCTGCCTTCGACTCATAAGCACAGTGCTTTTCAGGTGGCGCATCGGCCCATCTTGCGAGGTTTTCTCTCCGTACCGCTTTTACCGTGTCGACTTTCAAGCAGAATGCTGCTGTAGTAAGATGTAATCATCGTGGTAGTCTTGCAATTGTCCAAACTACTGCAAACACGATTCTCAATCGATGCCTTTCCGTAAGGGAGGGTTGATCCCTACAAGGGCTATTTGCCCTTCGGGTTATAACCCTCGTTGTAGGTCCCTACCTTTCCAATCCCTGAGCTTACATACGCCATACGTCACTTTCATACCGTAGCCTGCTGTTGTGACATACACTCACTCCAAAGGAGAAATAAAAGGCGGAACTAGGTACCATGTGTTCGTCGTCTCAACTTCGCATACATCAGCCGCGCCGCGCAGCCAGTCATGCACGCCAGATAAACATATCTGCTGAGCTTGCCGTACTCCGGTGAGGGTTCGTGATCTTCAACTTGCTCTCGTTGTGTCTCTCAATTATCCATCGTGACCACTGCGGACGCCAACTGCATTGTAAGCACCTCCTCTGCAACATCAAGTTATCGAAGAAATCCGAACCTCACCCTACACGCTCATCCAGATTTGTTCCGCTTGTCTGTACTCCAAGAGCTGATGATCGAACTCATCGACCGACCAAAGAAGACATCGCACACTCTTGCATGGCTCGAGCAGAAAGGATGTGAGTAATTTGCGTGGTTACAGAAGGCTCGGTAAGGGTTTCGCTCGTTCATTGCACATCTCAACCAATCGTCTGCCTGCAGTGGAGCAGACCGCTTGTCAGATCGGTTCAACGACTACACATCAATGCGCAGGGTCATATGTGATGGTGCGTGGATGCCGACTGGTGGCGTCTTTTCGTCGTTCTGAATGCTCTCAGCAGTCCTGAGTCAGAAGGTGTATATATCGCTTGGACTACGCTCACCTTCACTCTCTTTCGACGACTCAGACTACCGATAACACATTTGTATTGCGTCGCGTCTCCTGCTCTGGATGGGGGGCCTCCCGAGTAGGCCCCGCCTCCCATCCCTCGAACTGAATCGCGTCGTGGATCTCATCGACGACTACATACTTCAGCGTTATTGACTCCATTCTCGAGTTTCTGTTCGAACGCGGCTTCGGGCCCGATGCTGTTCTTCCGTTCTGGCGACCTGCCGTATCCGGAGTTACAGCTGGTTGCGAAATTTATGCCGGCCGACTCCGAACGACGCTCGCGCACTTTCTGCATCGTAAAATGAAACAAATTCCATAAATCGCCCTGCACTATCAAACACCTAGACCACAAGGTATTCGACCCTTCTGGGTCCATAAGAGCCTGAAACATTATGAACAAGGGTGATCCACGACGTTCGTAGAAGGCTCTTTGCAAGGACCTCACAGGCGCTACTTTGAGCAAGTAGGCTGGAGCGAACAGACGGGCTCTCAAGAACGGAAGAGACAGAATTTGGACAGCAATTCACCTAAAAGACGGTGTTGATGGTCCGTATAGGCTATTACAGACAGCTGCGTGGCAAGGGTGCTTCGAGAAAGCTGGAACTAGATGCTACTCAAACACTGCCTCTGTCGGCATTGCATAGTGTTGATGATGTGTCTGCTGACGAAGTTCGCACTGGAAAGGTATCAAGAGCACCTATAAATACTTTTTTTATAGACATCAGAGCGGCGAAACGACATTGAAGCCCATGAGAGTTACAAAAATATGCCGATGTCTGAACCTCTTCCGGCGCTTGATGCGCTGGCAAGAGCCAGGAGGCAGACTGCCTACTGCTCTGGCTGAGAATGTGTAACATCTTCCTATAAACCCACAAAACCTACTCTAAATGAGCCATATACTTTCATAAGTGACGTTGCAAGGCGGTGCGCAGATGCGGCGGCCTGAGCGAGAAACCTCATCGCCCATAGGGAGCTTCTAGTGATTTCCCTCGAAGGGCACAAGTTGGGAACCAGGAGTCCTACGCTCTCCACTCAAGTTCGTGAGGTCTCGTACTCGCTGCTATAGGGGTTATGGAAAGTTTATAGAACACAGGGGAGCAGAATCGCGAGTGCATGAATTGTTTGATTTTTTCGATTTTTTCGATTTTTCCGTGGTCGAAACTGCGTCGGAGTTGGTCGGGCATAAATTTCGCAACCAGCTGTAACATGACAAGTAACCCCACGCCACGCTCATCTTCGCGTTAGACCATGCCATGTGCAACGGTCTCAGCGGCGTCGCTTTCCACCGCATGCTTCCCAACGAGCTCCGGCAGAACTGCACCTCCCCCCACCTCCGTCAAGACCTCCGACGATCGCATACTGCCCCCTCCGTCAGAAGAGGCCGTGGACATGGTCTTCCGCGAGGTGCTCAAGCTCTTCAACCCCATGCCTGGGGCGACACTCGGCGACATGCGCGAAGAGCCCAGTCCCGAAGGTCTCCAACGATCACACAACGCGACCCTGACGGCGACCCTCCACACGCTCCCTCTCCTCGTCCTCTCGCACCTGCTTCACAAGCACGAGCGCGGGAAGTACAGTCATACACGGGTCCTCGGGACACCATGGGTCCTCGGGACACTGCGTGTTTTCTGACCCTCCCTCTATCCTACTGCCTCAGATTTTTGTATATACCTATATAGACTTCTTACAGCTCACCTCTCCTCAAATTTCGTCAGAGGCGACCCAGAAGTGAAGTCACCAGCCCTGTTTCTGTACAGGATTTACACGAAAACCAAATCTGGGACTGGTTCCCGCCCAAATCTATACTCACCGTGCCCATGGATGTGCCCCAGTTCTGGTGTACAACAAGGTGACATATATCCCCTTCTCTCAGCAACTTTATATGGTGAGATTTTGACACTGAGCCCTGATAGTCATCGACACAGTGTGGAAGGGTAGTTCTTTCGCTCAAGCAATCGGGCGTTTAGATGTCCACATACCATATCTGGGTTCGGCTATCCTCGGCAACAGCAATTTCGTTCCATACGAGGGAATTAAGCACTGTCCCGAGGACCGAGGGACGTGCGATAAGAGAAATTTGGGATGATTGTCCCCGATCCCTCTCACACATAGTTGGATTACCATGAAACTTAGGCGTGCAATGCCTTGTTGTGTACCATACATGATGGCATTGTCTGATATGGGCTGCACAGGTAGGGGATGGTTTGGGATGAGCGACAACATTTGACTGTCCCGAGGACCCGTGTATGACTGTACCAACTTGAATGCGCCACCTACTCTCCAGGTCTCGATGCAGCGCTGCGGACTTGGGCAACGCGTAGAGAAGGGTGGCTGTCGACTGTAGCAGACTGGGGTGCGGTGCATGTTAATCGGACTGGACGATGGAGAGGCCTCTTTCTCGGGCCCGGATGTGTGCCAATCATCTTGTTCCCCGTACTTACGGTGACCGTGCGTATCGGAGGAGGAAAGCAGTGCGACATTACAAATGAGCGGTGCTGATCGTCCCTCCAGGGGAAGCAACTCATAATATGTACTCATACTTACTGCATACAACCCCAACGTCATCGCCGGAACCACGGCCCCCTCAGCACCTTCACCGGTGCGTCAGCACCTCAGCAGAACGGCGCCACCGGCGCCGTTTCTCAGGCCGATAACTTCGCCGTGTTAGTAGGCGCTCTCTTCGGGGGCCAGCCCGGCGAGTTCCAAAGGGCGCACCAGTACTCTGCATCGCGCGCGTGACTAGAGTGCACGGAAAGCCGTCCGGGACGACGCGCCAGCACAGACCCCTCCCATCCACAGGTGGTGTTGACGGCACACTCGGTCGACAAAGACTTCGGGAGGGAGTTCGCAGCGGACTTCGCTGTGAGCATGCAGGAGCTATTAGGAGGCTAGCCGGATATGCTCAGTGTTCGTGGCGTCGGGAAGGATGCACCCTAGATTGTGCCTGCTAGATAGGCCTACTATTATCGAGCCAACCCTGATGTACACCGTGAAAACTATAGTATGTTGCTGAATACAACGCGCTCTCGAGCGACGTATCGTGCGTAGGTGGCTAGAGTTACAACATTGTCCGGGGCCGGAGCGTGCTTGGTATAGTACTCGGGAAGCGACATCTACTCCTTCATGTTGAGGACGACACGGCCGACGATCGTGCCCTCCGCGAGGCCCTCATACGTCCTGTTACCGTACATGTGAGCACGATGTCACCTCAAACAGCGATGACAGACCAACACTCACTTGCTGAGCTCCGACAACGGCTTGAGCACGAAATGCACCTTGACCTTCCCGCGCGCGGCGATGTCGAGCGCCTCGCGCGCGTCCTGGCGGTTGCCGACGTACGACCCGACGATGCTGATGCTCTTCGTGACGGTGAAGAAGATGTCCGCGCTGAGGCTCGCGCGCGCGGGCAGGCCGACGACCATGAGCGTCCCGCCCATGCGCAGGTAGTCGATCGCCTGCGCGTACGCCTGGCCGTTCGCGGCGGTAACGACTGCCGCGTGCGCGCCGAGCCCGTCCGTCGCGTCGACGATGTCCTTCACGAGGTCCTTCGTCTCGCGGAAATCGATCCACTTCTCCGCGCCGAGCTTCAGGCAGAGCTCCTTTTTCTCCGCGCCGGTGTCTGCATGGGGTGCTGCGTTAGCGAGGAGGGGGCGTGTACGGGGAAAGGGGGTGCGTACCGACTGCGACGACCCGCAGGCCCATGGCGACGGCGTACTGGATGGCGAGGTGTCCGAGACCTCCTCCGGCGCCGGGGAGGACGATCCAGTCGCCGATGTGTGTGTTCGAGTACTTGATGGCGCGGTATACGGTGACACCCTGATAGAGAGAGAGAAAGCGCGATCAGTGACCATCGGGGGTCGTCGCCGGCGGAACACTCACAGCGCAGAGAATAGAAGCAGCGTCAGCCGACTGGAGGCTCTCGGGGATGGGCGTGACGTGGGTGACCCAGGAGACGACGTATTGGGAAAAGGTGCCGTCGACGGTGAAGCCGCTGTAGCGGCCGTTCAGACAACCTGCGAGATGACGTCAGTGCGGGGCGCAGGCGAAGACGGGGCGTGCGCACTCTGCTCGAGGCCCTTCCGACACGGCTCGCAGTCGAGGCACGAGTACGCGAGCCACTTGATGCCCACCCGGTCGCCCACCTTCACCGGCGACGTCTGCGTGTGCTCTCCGATGGCGACGATACGCCCGACGCCCTGCCCCACAACTGTCAGCCATCTGCAGCCAGATCTCGGGATAATCGGGTGTATGCAGCTCACCTCGTGCCCGCCAATCAGGGGCAGTTTAGCTTGGATGGGCCAATCGCCGTTCCGCGCGTGCAGGTCGGTATGGCACACGCCGCTGTACTCGAGCTCGACGAGGCACTCGCCAGGCTCGAGCTCCGACGCCTGCTTCACGGGGTGGTCGCGCACGACCTTGAGGGGCGCGTCGGTCGTCTCGACGATGGCCGCCACCTGCGTCTTCGGGATGTTGAACTGAGGAGACATGGTCGAGGATGAATGGAATCGGGGGTGTGGATGTGAGTGTGGGCGCGGGTGTTGGAGTTGGAGTGCGGATGGGCGTATGACAGCCCTGGTTATATAGTAGCTGGTGCCACCAGACGCCAATCTGCGGGGAACGCAGACACTCGCGATGCGTATCTGGCTGGCCAGCATGCTTCGAATTCGGTGAGGGGACGAGAAGACGCTTCTTGTGCGGGGCCGGCCAATGGGGGGCGAACATGACCAGGTCAGCCCCTGCTTTTTGCACCGCGCCCGCAGCTCGAACAGGGGCTGGATTCCACTCGCCGTCGACCCCGTGTACTCGACCGCGCTCCTATGGCCTTCCGCCTCGAGCACTCTCGGTCGGCAAAGCATTTCCGAGCACTGTGCAGCGCTGACGGCCCACACTTATCGTACACACTAACGGGAGGCGCTCGAGAGGACTAGATGTCGCTGACCAGGGCCTGTCTGCCTAGACTGGCCGCTCCAGGTCTAGACGGCTGTCAATGGTGTACCTAGAGATCACCGCCCCCTGCTGGCTTGATCACTTGGTGTATCATGAGATTCTGAGAACACAGCACGATGGAGGACCGAAGACACTGACAAGCTGGCCAAAGACGCATCGATATCGTCGAAGATCGGGGCGAACCGACGGGGTCCCGACTGGCGCTCGTCTGGGAAGTACTCATTCAGCGCCTACGTATCGACAACGCCGCACAAGATCCTCTACATTGATTGAATTCGCATGGGCTGGCTGCTCTCAGCTCCTCTTTAAAAACCCTACGAGCCTCCTATTCGCAGTTATGAGTCTCGCGCGAGGCGTACGTCGCTCCTCCATAGCAGCCCCCGCCTCTTTCGACCAGGGGGACTCGGAAGCGTTCTCGGATTTCCGCCGTCTCCAGGACTGTGCTGATAGCCAAGGGTTTGACCTCCTCCGGCTGCGCGACTTTCGTGCGGCGTGCGAGCATCTGAAGAGCAGGCTATAGCCTTTCGCAGACGTCGTGCGTGCGCGCAAGCGTGATCCATCCTACGGGATCCTCTTTCTGCGGCAGCGGTGTCAGGCCATCGACAGCGATCCGCCGTGCGAAGCCCCACATTGTGGTGAGCTTGAGGACGTGCACCCGCTCGTCACGCGAGAGCTCCCTCGCTTCCTCTGCAGTACGTGCGTGGTGACTGGCGAATGCAGGCCGAGCTCATCGGCACGAGTTTGGTGGCATATGCTGAACATCGTTTGCAGGAGCGACCCAAGATCGTCGGCTTGGATCGACTAGAGCACGGGGGGAGGCTCGTCCGACTGACCCTCAACGACGTCGTCACTGGGGGGTATGGTGAACATGTCCCTGAAGCCCTCAGAGTCTCCTTCGAATCTGCGGCGTGGCACCTAGCTTGGAGAGCTGCGTGCCGCCGGCCTATGGACAGAGAGCGCTCATCCTCGTGTGATCGTCATCGCGCCAACTGGCTCAATCGCTGTGGGGCACGTGCTGGGAAGACGATGTGGTCGAAAGAGAGGATCGGGTGTCTCCTGACACCTTCTGCCTCTGAAGGAGTGACGGAACCCGTTTTGTCTTTGCGACGTCCGGTTTACCCTGCTCGAGGCAGGCTGACTTTTACTGCGGGCGAGAAAAGGTCAGATGTCTCCATATAGGCAGGTGCGTCGTAGCCGCTTGTTGATTTGCTATGAGGGACACGAGTGTGAGGAGACGGAGTTGAATCCTTATGTAGTCCTAGGCGGGCTCCGCGTGCTGCGGTAAGAGAGTTGCGGTAGGTGCCCTGTGACGAACCCCGAGATCAGGCGAAGCCTCTGAATCAAAGGAGATCGACGCAAGGACACTTTCAGAGACGTTCCTACTGGTAGTAGGCCGGAGGGCAGATGGTGGCTCTGGCTGCTTCCTACCCCTTTGAACGACAGTTGACCGGATTTAGAGGGCCTGTGGCGGGGTGCGCTGCGGCTCTGATACAAGGCTCCAGCGACGGGATGAATACACTCATGCCGTATATCTGGAAGGTAAATACACTATCATACTCGCTCGTCAGCTATCCCCGACACGCGACGCGGCTCGCAGGCAGCGTTCACCATATCAGTAGAGTGTTCTAGGGTGCCAATGCCCCATAAACAAGGGGTATATCATATACTGCTTGCGAGGTTCCGTCTTCTGTCACGTACAGCAACTTGAAGTTGTCAGCTCGCGCTACCATTCAATCCTGCTCAATGCAAGAGGTCAATCGATCGAGCACACGTCAGCTCTCTTCGCTATAACCGGCTATATCTGAAGTCTTGTTAGGCCTAGCTTACTGGCCTCGGGCGAGACCGTCCATGCCGTCGTGTCGGTCCGGACGCCAATACGTTGTGGCCGATCCAAGTAATAATGACGCTCGTGCGCGCTGCTCCGTACCCCGCGTCTTGTGCATTTCCCTAGAAGACCGGCTACCCTCCGTGGGGAGTATAGTCTGCGTCAGTCTGTAAGATCTCAAACCCTAACACCCTGACCCTAACCGAACCCAGACCCGAACCGGCACCCTCTCGGAGTTTGAAAAGGTGAGGAGAACTGGGTGGGACATCATAATTAATTCATAGTGTCAAGTGCTCGGCAAGAGGGCGGGACATTCTGGTCCGAAACCAACATTAATCCGCTCGTGTTTGGGCTGACCAGCTTCGCTCATGGCCAGTCAACCACGTATGTGGTAGGCAAGCACTCGTGCACGAAGAATGCTGTACCGCGGATTGACCATCGACTGACGGCCTGACTTCATGTGCCAGTGCTGGATGCTGGGTGCTGGCGGGGGCAGAGACAGCGCGATAAGTACCGCCGCGAGTGATTGCAAATATCCTGAGGTCAACCTGATATGATAAGTAGTTCACAGCCATAAGCTGCTGCACCCAAGAATTGACGCGTAGTTTTGACATAAAGAACTGTTTATGCAGGCGATAATAATGCAACCCGGACTCACGGTCCGAACTGTTTTCTGTTTAGGCCTAATTTGGAATGCTACTAGGATCGCGCTTTCCCACAGCACAGCCACGTGCCAGCGATTCCTCGACGGCAATCCAACGACCGGACGTGCTTCTTGCTTTCAGATATACCACACTGAAAACATACATAACGTGTCACCATTGCTTTTGAGAGGTGACTGGTTCTTGGTCAAAGGAGCCGCCAACAAAGGAAGCCGCTTTCCACTTAGCCGCCCATGAGACGGAGCCCCATCCAGCGCCTATCATTTCCAACTTGCTTTCCTCATTACCACTGTGCCCCCCGTTGTGCATCGGCCAGCTTCCTCATTCGGACACACCAGCCGTTGCGCTTTACTGAGTCTTACCTACTGCTCCGTGCTCCGTGATTGATACTCAGAAATCACTCCGACAAATAAAAGCTCGAGCCGGTATGTCGTCCTTTCTCCCAGTTCAATCTCCCAACCACCGCCTCCCATCCGCTCAATAACTCGTCCTGTACATCCCTGACCACGTACTTGACTTTCTGAACACATTGAACACCTCGTCGCTTGTGACCGCCTCCTCCCTGTCTCGACCATCCTAACCACGATGCCTTCCCAGGTCCGATTCTCCGAGGGTACAAAGACCACCGATTCCCCCAATAAAGCCCTCATAGGCGATAAGAACCACACGAACATCAAGGAGAACTTGGATTATCACCGCAACGAACTGCGTTTCAACATGCACGGCAAGATCAGCCTCATCCCACACGCCGACTTCTTCGACCGCTTCCTCCCTTCGATGAAGACACCCAGGTCGGAATCCAACAGATTCAATGGCTTGGAAACGCCATCCTCAGAGACAGATATGTACAAGTCGCTGGTGAGTATCGTCCTCATTGTTCGTCGTCGATATAGAGTCGTCTCGCTGATGCGGTGGTTACAGCCTAAGGCGCTGAACAATGCCCGCATCTGCCCCCGCTTCAAGTTCGTCGCGCATCCACACAAGCCTGACAAGACCGAGCACACGAAACAATCCGT